CCATTGAAAATGGACCCCGTATTTATCAACTTTGGTCTAATATATCAATGAGTAAACAATTCGCTGCTCTGTTATGACTTACTACACAATCACGCTAGGTAAATGTAATGAACTATCCAGTCTTTCCCCCATAGCTTTGTGTCATGCACGCAAGGAACAAATATCATTTTTGGTTTGAAAATCTAAAAATTTACCAATTCCTAATGGGATTGAACGGTGCCTATGCCACTCTCAAGATATAGATCATCAACATGGATCATCTTCCATCCTTGGATTGAGTGTATGCTATGATTTCACGGAAAGAATCTCATCAGTGAGTTACTAGTGCCCGTAATGACATCCCTGCACTAGGCTTTACCATCTAACACCCGTGTTTGACTCTGCATACCGCACTCCAAATGGTCGTCCCTTCTACACCTATTGTCACTGGCTAGGCCACACATTCGATTGCTGTTTCACCTGACTCGGTGTTTCCCTACAGGGATGCGGACACAACCAAGGCAAACCTCACCACCCAAATCTTAATCAACCAACCTATGGTCAACAGCAGCAGATACAGTCTCGACCTACTTTAGCAACTGCATCCCAGGCTATTGTCCCCGCCACACCGTCTCTGCCTAACATGACTGGCTTGACACCTGAACAAATGCAGCGCCTACTTGCACTCCTTGAACTGCCACCATCTACCTCTGAGTCACTAGTTGCTAAGGCTGATCTTTCCATTGTATCTTAGCTCATTGACAGTGGAGCCTCTCATCATATGACCGGTAATATAGCTTTATTTTCTGCCATTCATTACATAGCTCCAACTCTAGTAGGACTTCCTGTGGCATGCAGACATCAACGATAAAAGAGGGAATGGTGTTGCTTCACTTGGGTTTCCTCCTTTGCAATGTTTTATTTGTTCCACACATCTCGGTCAATTTATTCTCTGTTGGGCAACTAATAAATTATTCAAATTGTATTATAAATTTTGCTCCTCATATGTGTGTTATACAAGACCGTTCTACGAAGAACCTGATTGGTCTAGGTAAACCACACAAGGGTGTTTTCTTGTTCTGTCCTCTACCAGTGGTTACCGCTTCTACTATGACTACTCTGGAGTCTTATTCTCTTAGGCATCAACGGCTGGGTCATCCCTCTCGCTGAAAGCTACTTTATCTTCCTAGTATTAATGTTAATTTTTCAAAAGATAATAATTTATGTGATGTATGTTGTCGTGCCAAACAAACACACTTTTAATTTCTGATTAGTTGTACTCATACAAAAGAATACTTTAGATTAATTCATTATGACATTTGGGGACCGTATCGTGTTTGTACACTTTTCGAAGATCATTATTTTTTTACCATTGTTGATGATTATAGTCGAGCAGTATGGGTTTACTTGCTAACTAATAAAAGCTAGGCCAGTAGTTTACTTCACAATTTCTGCTCAATGACCCAACGATAGTTCGAAAAATTTATTAAGATCATCCGAAGTGATAATGAGATCGAATTTGAGTCTTGGGCGATGCAGTCATTTTATGCTTCAGCTGGTATTCTCCATCTTCAAACATCGCTGGTAGACACTCCCCAACAGAATGGTCGAGTAGAACGAAAACATCGACACATCTTTGAAGTCGCACGGGCTCTACACTTTCAAGCCAATCTTCCACTCGAGCTATGGGAAGAATGTGTTCTCACAGCCACTCATCTTATTAATCACACTCCTAGCTCTATTCTCAACAGCAAAACTCCACATGAATTCTGTTTTCTGCCTCCCCTGCATATAACCATCTTCGGGTTTTTGGATGTCTTTGTTATGCTGTTGCACATCCTCGGAAAACTAATAAGTTTGCTCCTTACAGCTGTCGTTGTGTCTTCTTCAAATATCCATACGTTAAGAAGGGTTGGAAGGTACTAGACCTAGAAAACTTTATAGTTTTTATATCTCGCAATGTCCTCTTTGAAGAAACTGTCTTCCCTTTTGCTCATACTCTCCCCGATAAAGAGTTGGGGTTGCGGTCCTTGTCTCACTCTCCTTTGCTTTATGTTGTTCAATGGGATTGACATTATTCGAGTTTAGTTTCCTCGACAGAGGGAGCTCCTGTCAACATTGCCCCCCTCCATCTTTGTCTAAGTCATATTCCCCTGACCCACTTGCAGTCGATGTTTCCATAATAGATTTGAGTCGTGGTAAGAGAACCAAATGCCCCCCAATTGCACTTCAAGATTTTGTCTATCACTTAGATCATCTTTTGGCATCCAGTGGAAGCCATTCAATAGACAATCGGTACCCACTAGCCAACTATGTCTCCTGTGATCGGTTCTCTACTACACACACTCATTTTTTAGCTGTTGTTACCACTGGTGTTGAGCCTCGACACTATTCGGAGGCTACTCGCGACCCTAAGTGGTGCGCTGCCATGCAAGAAGAAATTACTGCTTTGGAACAAACCGGCACCTAGACCATCTTAGATCTTCCTCCTGGAAAGAAACATGTTAGCTCCAAATGGGTCTTTCGGATTAAGTACCACTCGGACGGCTCCATCGAAAGATACAAGGCCCGTGTCGTGGTTTGCAGTGACACTCAAGTAGAGGGCCTCGATTACACTAAGACTTTGCCCCAAGCGCCAAGCTGGTCAATGTCCGCACCCTACTTGCTGTTGATGTGGTCAAAGGATGGGAGTTACACTAGTTCAACGTACACAATGCATTTTTACATGGTGATCTTCAGGAAGAAATATACATGCGTCTGCCCTTAAGTTACCTCGTTTTTTGTCTAAATAAGGTCTGTCGCTTGCGAAAATCATTATATAGCCTCCTACAGTCTCCCAGAAATTGGTTTGCAAATTTAGCGTCCGCCTTACGCACCTACAACGTTTTCTAGTCACATGTTGATCATACCTTGTTCACTTATCATCGTCAGGGTATCTTTCTCTCTGTCCTTGTTTATGTTGATGATTTAATCATCACCGGGAACAATCCCGAAGCTTGTGCCTCTTTCAAACGCAACCTAAATGGGTGTTTCCACATTAAGGATCTTGGCAAGTTAAAATATTTTCTCGACATCAAAGTTGCACGTGGACTCTTTGGTCTATTTCTGTCACAACGTAAATATGCTATTGACATCTTGCTTGAAGTTAGTTTACTAGCTTCCAAACCAGCAGATTTTCACATCGAGTAAAATCACACTTTAGCAACCCCCCGACAGTCCTCCTTTAGTTGATCCTTTTTGGTTCCGCCATTTAGTTAGTCGTCTTGTTTATCTCACTATCATTCAGTCCGACATCTATTATAGCGTTCACATTTTATTTCAATTTCTTCATGAACCCCATCAAAAGCATTTGGATGTTGTCCTTCTCGTCATGTACTATATCAAAGGCAGTCCTGGTAATGACATCTTCTTGTCTTTAGATAGCTCCCTTCAGCTATCCGCCTTCTGTGACTTTGATTGGGTCGTTTGTCCACTCACTCGTCAATCGACTACAGGCTACTTCATCAAGTTAGGAAATTCTCTGATCTCTTGGAATGCCAAGAAACAACCTACCGTTGCTCGTTCCTCCGCCGAGGATGAATACCATGTTATGGCCGTAGCTGCATGTGAATTATCTTGGTTAAAATCCTTTTTTACTTCGTTGGGAGTTTTTATGAGTCAACCTATGCGTCTGTTCTGTGATAACCAAGCTGCATTACACATACCTTCCAATGTGGTCTTCCATGAACGCACAAAACATATTGAAATCGACTGCTACTTTGTTCGAGAACAACTCTTGGTTAGTCGTCTCACTACAAAACATGTACATTCCTCCGATCAGGTTGCTGATATATTCACAAAAGCCTTCAGACGATCTTAGTTCTAATACATGTCTCGTAAGTTAGGCATGCACAACCTTCATGCACCAACTTGAATGGGAATAATGACGTGTCTCGAACGCGATCTTTTCTCTCAGGCGATCTCCTCATATCTCATGTATAATATATCCTGCATATATATTGTATATATCTTAGCCTTGATTTCCGGAGACTTAAGTAAAGAAAATTCTGATCTTTCCATATAAACTTACTCGCCTATATATTAGGCAATTATGTTTAATAGAAAACTCAACTCTTCTTCACAAAACCTTACTACAAACTTAACATAATGTTTGTTGTACGTTGAATTCGAAAGAAGTATATTGTTCAACCTTTAATTTTATCATTGATGATTGTAAGTTGTTTCTATCTCGTAGACCTAATGTTTCTTTATGTTGGGTTGACAAGAAAGCCAATGTACTTGTGCATATTATTGCAAAGTCGACCCATTCCCATGAGTGCTTTCATGTGTAGGAGGGCTTTCCTCTGGATATGAATCTAATGGTATCTTAATGGTTTTATGATATGATCATCTTTAAAAAAAAAAAACAACATTCAATCTAATTAATTATTATATTGTTATTTTAGTATTTAATTTATTTTCTATATAAAGGTTAAGTCTGGTAGTTTGTCCAAGAGATTTTTAATGTATTTTTAGAAAATATTTGTTATTATCAAGAGTTTGTTTCCACTTTTTATTTCGCAAAAAACAAAGTTGGCTTCCAATGTATTTATCTTTACATACTTATCAAATGAATCACAAAACATATAAAATTTATTTATAAATTTATCTCAATTTTATATAAAATT